GTGATGATACATACTACTTATATCTATCGACATCAGTAGCATAAACCACAATTGTACAATGATCATTTTCATTATCATTGTTCTTTCGTTTCCCCACCAAACATTCTCTGTTCTCGATCTTGTTTGTTTCATTTTCTTAACTTTCTGCCTCCAGGCATTTCACTTTTGATTGATGATGATACATACTACTTATATCTGTTGACCCACACCACAATATTATGCTTGTTACCTAGATCAAAGCTAAATAATTAGAGTTGAAGTCTTTTATCTAATAATTAAAAGCTATTTTGTTTAAGCTATTATACTATTGCTTCGTTAGTGATCATTTATGGCAACATAAGAGATTGGCGAATTCAACAATGTATGTTCTACATTTGTTTTAGATTCATGGAAATAAAATGTAACTCATTCACCTTGTCAGGTCATTAAATTTAATAAACATAATAAATGAATATGAAAAACTAAGGGGTAATGGAATACACTATTCAAATCATTAATTCATATTTACTTACTATATTACACTATATTTTAATACCTTTTCTATCTCTTAGTCATGATGAACTCATCGTAAAATGAATTGAAGTTAGACGTTAATACCATCGGATGCTGACCACCCCAGTGGTCTAGAGGTAAAGTGTTCGCGTGCAAGATCGTTAGGTTCTGAGTTCAAATCTCTCGAGGCGGGATCGTGGATGCGTACTACTGAGGAGTCCCACAACAGGACGAAATGTTCGTCCAGTACTTTCAGGTTTTCCATGGTGGTCTAGCTTCAATTGACTTATGATCTCAACTATTAAAAATTACTGTATTATCCACAAGACCCCTTCTGATATTAATTAATTTATTTGTTGCTATACACAGCAATTATTTTCAAACTCGACTTAACTTATTTCCGTCTAGTTATTCTAACAATGTAGGGGAGTAAGAAGTTTATCTCCTCGAAATTCAATTTGCTGAATCTGTTGCTACTGTTTTAGTATGTGTTCATTTTTTGAGTTACACTTGTTGCCTCTCCTCCAGAAGCATAGGCCACCCGTCAGCATTCTCCATCTAACTCTGTCCCGGATAATCCTTTCCAGTTGTTTCAAGTTGCTATTCATCATTCTTATGTCTGCTTCCGATTCTCGACGCAGTGTGTTCCTTGATTTTCCTCTTATTCGTTTACCATAAGGATTCCAAGTTAGCTCAAGCCTCGTGATGCAGTTTGGTGATTTCTGTAATGTGTTTCTTATCCATCTTTGGCGTCTTTTCCTAATCTCCTCTTTAGTTGGAAGCTGGTTTGTTCTCTCCCATAGTAAGTTGTTGGTATCCGACCAACAGACATTCAGTGTCTTATATAGACAATTGTTGATAAATACTTGTAGGTTTTTGATGATGGTTGTGGTAGTTCTTGAATTTTTAGCTCCATACAGTAGAATTATCATGTCATTCATGTTGAAGAATTTCACTTTGGTATTGATTGACAGTTGTTTTGAGTTCCATATATTCTTCAATTTTAGGAATGCAGCACTTTCTTTGCCAATCCTCGCCTTTACATTTGCATATACATATATATAATGGTTAAGTAGTCACGACAGGATTTGACTACACTTCTGCTCACATAGTCCAATAAATAACTAATTTTTTGGTCAGTCCATAACATAAATTAATATTATTATGAATAGTGACATTGATTCTTAAGTGTGATCAGGTGGTTCATTGAAATTCACTAGACTAAAACATCTGTCATTACATAGAGTCATTTATAGTCTACATTTTAAAGTTTAAAACAAGGCAAAGTATTCACTTTCTTTTGCCTCTTCTGTAAATGATTTTCATGGATTCTATTCATTTTATGATAAAATACACTTTATAAGTCACTAGATATGTAAAAATTAACCGTTTGGTTATTATTTTAAATGTCAGTAAACGGTTATAGAGATTCACTTGGTATTGTTTGGCTTGTATCCTCCCATTGAAGTTTAAAACTGCAAGTGATCAGTCTGTTATTGGCATATATGCATACTCTGCGTATGCTTTGATATTGTCTTAATTCACAAGCTTTTTGTAAGCATATGACGAGTCCCAAATAGAACGAAACGCGCGTCCTGGATTCCTCTGGTAGCCACTATCCATCATTGCTTACAAAAAGGTCGTAGAGATTGTTGAATTCCACCGAAATCACGAATTAAATCCATAGTAGGAAGAAACGCCTGTTGACTGTTTCCAGGTTTTCACTGATGACCTAACTTAAATCATAATCCCTTACTGAGGGGATTTTCAGAGTTCTAGTGAGAAGCTGTGGGCACCGATTCATGTCGGGTGTGAGACAGTTAACAAACAAAAACAATGGAAGATAGTCGCACAGTGTTGTGAATTGATTTGAGTTATACATTAACAGCGTTGGACGTCAACTCAGGGGTCTAGAGGCCAGGGGTGCTAGTTTGGGCGGTCTAGTGCAAGAAAGTGACATCGAGTGGAGTGTTCTGGCTGGGGCGGGGCGTTGGTTGTTGCAGTTGCTTTCGACGGTGAGAAGCAGTGGGACATACCACTAGTGGTCAGATGTAGATGATTCAGTGGTTCGTTGGATGCTAGTTAGACATCGGATTTATATGGCCCAAGAGGTCAGTGCGTCGATGAACTCGATACTTTGACGATCAAAGTGACCCAGACCGCTGTAAAGAAGGGAGTAGGACAGCGTACAGAACAACCTCACAAGCCGTGTGTATGCTACTTATGTTGAAAGATTTAATAATATGTAATAACAATCAGGACTGGAATGCTTATTAAAAGAAGATTAAGAAGACTAAACTGAAGAAAACAGAATAGTATTGGAATAATAACACAATTGGAAGAATCATGGAGGATGTAAAGGACAACTGATGAAAGGTGGGCAAATGAAGTATTTAATGTATAGTTTTCATAATTTATGACGACACTCTGTGATTATGCACTAAGCAAATTAATTTTGCCCACCTGAGTTTCCGTTCACTACATTATTATGCAATACTGACTGGTAGGATATTAATGCCTCAGGAAAATTATTGAAGCGGACAAAAGCGTTTAAAATTGGTAAACCTTCAATGGGATGAAACATGTTTTCTAGACCTTTCTATTGGATATTATTAAAATCTATTCTACACAGAGAGTAAACATACATGTATTACTTACTAAATAGTTATTAGTCAGTTTATCCCATCATTTATTCGGAGCTAATCTATTAAAGTTCCCAATTACCCATGCACACGGTTGAATGACGGTGCGGTGGTCTTGAGGCTAAGCGTTCCTTTGCAAGAATGATAGGTCCTAGGTTCGAATCTCATGAGACTGGATCGTGGATGCTCACTGTTAAGGAGTCCTATACTAGACTCATGAATTCAACTATTAAATAATTCTTCGACTAAGCAATTCGACAAGGTTATGGAAAGACATTTTAACAAGTTAAGACATTTATTGATAAATAATACATGTCAAATCATACATATCAACCAAGACTGATTACAATTTTGCTCTTCAATATCGATAATGAGATCAATCAAATCGTTGCTTATTATAGTCGTGAAACGACTAACAGAACTCAGTAGTTCAGTGAATTAAACTTAATTAGTAAAAGAATTTGTTATTTGTTGAATTTATAGGCTCCTTAAACAGACCCTTTAATATAACTTCCAGTTACATGATTTTTTTATATTTTTAAGCTAGTCGCTAATGGAAAAATAAGATGAAGGTTAGAGACAGTCGATGAGAAACCCTAGACCTGTGGTTTCGTGTGACTTGTCCCTCGTCAGCAAGTTGCACTCGTTATCTTGAGAGAACTAATGTTCCCCGACGCATTCAATCCCACGTCAACCAGCTTCACACTCAAAGATGATACCACTGAGCTATCCGGTCCACAAGTGACCTCCTTTAGGACTGAGATGTAATCACAATTGATTGATCCCTGAGTGGTGGTCAATGTCATGTGTGTCAAGTCCTTATTAGTGCAGATCGAATGCTCTTGATCAAGTTGCAATGTAGCCTCTAGTCTAGGTGACTGGTGGTTGGAGGTAGTCGATACACATGACATTGATCACCACCCAGTGATCAATATCATGTATATCATATCGTTTTTAGTACAGATCAAATCCTAAGTCATCACACTGGTTTATAACCCTTATTTAGTCCTAGTTATTAGTTGGACACTCTCAAAGTCATCATAGCGCCTCTCAAAGATCGTCCATAATTTATAGTCTCATTGAAATTTTCATGAATACAAGTTTATTTTATTATGAAATTATTGATTTTCTTTTATTCTCTTTTAACCTTCTCCTACCAAATGTTTACTGCCAAATACAATTTGCATTCATCCAATTCTAACTATATACATATATATATATTCTTTTTGTAGGTTCTGGGTGTTTACCAATTTAATAAAATGTGAAGTGTTTCCTCCCACCCCACCCCACCCCACCCCACCCCACCCCATCCCACTCCACCCCCATCCTCACCCTGAAAAATCAATTTCTTTCCTAATGACCATAGTAACACTTCATAATAACATTAGTCATAGTAAAAATAAGACCCAATTCTACTTGTTCCTTTTTTTTATTTATTTATTATATTACTCATATATTGACTGTATGAAGTAAAGTTATAACTGAATTATATATATATACAGATATGGTATTATTTACTCAATTGAATGCATTGTGACTCATGACTACGCCCTATTGTATTTTTAATTTTAACACATTTACAATGATTATGACATTGGTTTCCCTGTATATTTGCAGAAAGTTTTTCTGAACTACTGATTGGACCATAGAAACTTCAACCAATGATATGATTATTCTCAACATACAAGTCATATATTGGTATACAAAAGAAAGGAGTAAAACATTTAAAGTATTGTGCTATTATTGACTTGGCAACCAGAAACAAGTGATTTTTCATTGTTGTTGTTGTTATGTTATGTCTTTCTGTCTCTCTCTCTCTCTCTCTCGTTCTCTCCTTGAATGAGTTAGTGAATAAATCAGGTGATATTTTTTTCTCTCTTTTTAGGCACCCACATATAACTGATTGTATTATGGATTATGATTATGATTATTACGTGATAAGCGGGTAACCAATATCACAAAGTATAAAAAAATGGTCACAGAAAATCAATTTTACTGTTAGATACAATAAATATATAAGTCTAATTTGCATTCACAGTGATTGGTAATAATAGTCAACGTTGTTTTGTTATTGTTATTGTTGTTACTGTACACATAATTTGATTGTGATCTATTTCATTATTCATATGCAACGACGAATAGACGAATATATTGGAATATCTATCTATCTATATATGTGTAATATAACAGTATAATCTATTATTCCTTCCTATAGTATATCCATTGAAACTTATTATAATCCTTGATTACATAATAAATAGATCAATTGCTTATGAACAGGAATGCTTCCATTACTTGAAGAGATCAGTTTAAATTGCCAATTGTCAAGTGAATTATGGTAAGTGTGCTATTTATATGTAGAGTATTATGATGATGATTATGATGATTATATTGATCTATGTCGAATCAATGTGTTATTATCTTTGATTATGAGGAATCCGTTTTAAAATTAAGCTGGAACTAGATTGTCAAATGAAATTTTGGATTAAATAAGAAAGAAAGATTAGTTCAGTGAAGAGTTCTCTTTTCATTGAATTCATTTTCAAAGCTGTAAGATATTTGTGTATTTTAACGTAATCTTTAAGAAAGGTAATCTTCACATTCAATTCCGCAAGTTTGACAGAATAACCCAGAAACTCATTAAGTTCTTTTACTAAGGAAGGGTCCTTGGAATTTTTTTAATAAATGGAATACACCAATTAAGACATTAAATAAGAAAACTTGGATTTACCAATTTCCTAAAATGTGGATTATTTCCTCCCACAACACCGCATCTTTACCCCACCCCGAAAAATTAATTTATTTCCTTATGATCATAGGAACACTGACATTTTACAAATATATATTTTTTCTCCTTCATGTCTAAATTTTATTTTGTTTAGAAAATTCAACTTAATTCATTAAAAAGAATTTACGGGTCAATTGAAGCTAGATCACTATGGAAAACCTGAAAGTATTGGACAGCTGTTTCGTCTTGGCATGGAACTCCTCAGTAGTGTGCATCTATGATTCCGCCCGGCTAGATGCCAGCTGGCTTAATGGTTTAAAGGTTAAGTATTCGCACGTGAGACTGATTGATCCTGGGTTCGAAATTCGTGAAGCGGGATCATGAATGAACACTAATGACGAGTCCTATACTAGGACGGAACAATCATCCAGTGCTTCCAAGTTTTTCATGATGGTCTAGTTTCAATTGACTCATGAATCCAACTATCAAATTTATTAAAATCTCCACAAAACTCCTAATGCAATAAATTGAAATATATTTAAGTATCTAACTTAACAAAACAGTTAAATTTCCATGTTATCATGTTACATTTTTTGTTTGTTTTACTTACTTACTTACTTACTTTAGCCTGTTACTCCTAATGGAGCATAGGCCGCCAACCAGCATTCTACAACCCACTCTGTCCTCCACCTTCTTTTCTAGTTCCATCCAATTCTTGTTCATTCTTCTCATGTCTGTCTCCATTTCTCGGTGTAATGTGTTCTTCTTCGGTCTTCCTCTTTTCCTTTTGCCTTGAGGATTCCATGTGAGGGCTTGTCTTGTGACGCAGTTGGGTTCTTTCCTCAATTCGTGTCCTACCCACTTCCAGCGCTTCTTCCTGATTTCTTCCTCCGCTGGGATCTGATTTGTACGTTGTTGCTAATAGTGTCCGGCCAACGGATCTGAAGTATTTTGCGTAGACAACTGTTAATAAACACCTGTATTTTCTGGATGATGGCTTTCGCAGTTCTTCAGGTTTCTGCCCCATACATTTGTTTGTTTTAACTAACAATCATCGTCTACTAAGCGCATTATTTACCTACGCTATTTTGTTTGGTTTTGTTTTATAACCTGGATTAAGTTTATTCATAATGATTTTAATGATCCAGTTATCTACAACTGTCTGCTTGACCCACATGTTGAAAAAACACTGAACACATTTAGTAGAACCTCCGATTATAACACTTCCATAGGGAACCGTTATATTGGCAATACTATGAAATCTAAAAAGAAACATTGAAGTTAATGATGTAACATATTTCCCATATTCTGTACCATGACACAAGAATACAGAAATCAACATGTGTGAAGTCAATTAAAAAGGTTTCACAATACATAACATGGCATATTACTTACTTACTTACTTACTTACTTACTTACTTACTTACTTACTTACTTACTTACTTACTTACTTACTTACTTACTTACTTACTTACTTACTTACTTACTTACTTACTTACTTACTTACTTACTTACTTACTTACTTACTTACTTACTTACTTACTTACTTACTTACTTACTTACTTACTTACTTACTTACTCACGCACTTACTTACTTACCTACACTTGTTGCCTCTTTGTGAAGGAGTATAGGCTGCTCACTATCATTCTCTATGACATATACATTACTCAATTTAAAGACAGCATTGGATGAGTGTGGTAGTCCAACTCTAATATTTAATATTTCACATAATCAAAACATCCTTACATATTTCCTCTTAACTTATTACAATTAAAACATACATTAAGGGAAATTCATTACAATGTTTTGTATATATTAAGTAAATATCAGTGTTTTTTCTTAATGGCATATCCAAATGACAACGACTTATCTGTGAACAAGTTTTAGACTAATAATTAACGTGTAATTTTATCATTAATAATAATTAATATATGACAATAATATGATTTAGAAGTAGGTCAGTATGATGGACCTGCTTTAGGGGTGAATGGGAAATCCCGATTACAAACCAATGGTGTACATAGGATCCTGGATCATGAAGGAGCAAATGCAATATGAATATGTTGTTAGTCACCGGTTACCATGGGACTGCATTTTTTAACGTTAATCCACTGTCTTGTAGATTACATCCTTAGGTCAAAGGCTACAGGTGTGAACCCCCCCCCCCAAGAAGACCATCATCTTCGGTTTGGTCACCCAGGCGGTATCTCAATGCTCATATATATCGAATGATTTGTGTGGTGAATATCTATTTGGTGCCTACCCGTACCAATGTTTATGTATATAAATAAATAAATAAGTGAATAAATGATTTAGAATTCACTTGGTGTTATCCCAAATAAAACGAAACGCGCATATTGGATTCCCCTGCCAGCTACTATCCATCTCTGCTTATAAATGACTTAGAAGTTATAAATCTTTGGTTTCCTTGAATTGAACAATTACCGGAAAACCGAAAATATCTGACATCTGTTTCGTTCTAGTCTATAACTCTTCGGTCAAATTATGAAACTATAAGGTCATAGGAAAATAAACTTATAACTCCTAGATCTTCAAAAGATTGTTAAATGAATAGTTAAACATAATTCACAAAACAAAATTGGCAATGTGAATTGCCCATAGATGAGTTAAATGTAATATTTACTTTTTAATAATCAAATTGATGTATTAAAACACGGTGTATTAGCTTAATTCTGTAAAAAGCATGTGGTAAGATCAATCTAAAACAATATTCTTTATAGAGTAAAACGATTATTGGCTATCATTAGTATCCTAAATAAGTGTTTCGTCCTATTTGCAAATTGTTAGTCGAATTTTATGATTATCTTAACTTAGTACTTACTTACTTAATTACGCCTGTCACGCCCAATGGAACATAGGCCACTGACCAGCATTCTACAACCCACTCTGTCCTAGCCCTTCCTTTCTAGTTCTATCCAATTCTTGTTCATTCTTATCATGTCTGCCTCCATTTCTCGACGTAATGTGTTCTTCTTTGGTCTTCATCTTTTACTTTGACCTTCAGAATTCCATGTGAGGGCTTGCCTTTTGACGCGGTTGGTTGTTTTCCTCAATGTGTGTTCTAACCACTTTCAGCGCTTCTTCCTGATTTCTTCCTCCACTAAAATGTGGTTTGTTCTCTCCCATAGTAGGTTGTTGCTGATAGTGTCTGGCCAACGGATCCAAAGTATTTTGCGTAGACAGTTGTTAATAAACACCTGTAGTTTCTGGATGATGGCTTTCGTAGTTCTGTAGGTTTCTGCTCCATACAGTAGAACTGTCTTGACATTTTTGTTAAAAATTCTGAACTTGGTGTTGGTTGACAAACAGTTGTTTTGATTTCCAGATGTTCTTCAGTTGTAAATATGCTGCTGAACTCAGTAGCTCTATGAATAACTCCATGGGAGTTTAAAAGCAAAGGTACTTAGTTCTAGTCCTAATATAAATATCAACAATGAGATGGAGGTAGGTTCAGTTGAGTCGAGTTGACTGACACGCTCAATCTTGATTCCATTGTTAACCATAAATCACTTATTTCAAATAAGTTATGATAATATAGGTATATTGTAGCAGTTTGTGAAAGATGTGTGTATGGTCACAACGACTTATAATCATTCAGTCCTGAATATCAATAAAGAGATAGTTCTAATCTTACTACCAATGATATTTGGAAGTAATGAAATATCGTTCATAATGCCTTTTAATGACTCATTCATTACAAAGTAAAGATAAAAGTCAGAAATTGGTACGTATACGATTAGATCACTTTTTATGACTGAAAAATGTTCATTCTTCCAAGATATTGGACCATATAAGAAAAACTCTGAAATGAAAAGAGTAAAAAGCGGCTTCTTGAGCTACACCAACTTCTGTTAATAAATAAGTGTAACACTCTCCTTTACAAATAGTTTACTGTTCACCACCAGAAAGATACGAACAAATCCATCCATTTATCTTATTCTCAGTATTTATACCAATAATGTTGCTGAATAGCATAAATCTTGTGATGAATCAGGACACAAGTGGGGATAATCGAATGTATTTGAATACAACATTATAGAATATCCTGGCAAAATTTAAGAATCATACAGTAAATACCTCATTTGCAAAATGTCAATCAATTGTTTCAGACTTAACTGCTCCTTCTCTTCCATACCAATCACTCTCTGCTATCGTTGTCTTTTCTTTGAACTTCATCACCTTCTATCTCTAGACATTTCACTTTCAATTGATGATACATACTACTTATATCTAACGACATCAGTAGTATACACCGCAATAATCACCAGCTAAAGTTTACTTACCTACTCTTTTGTTTAAATTTGAACACTTGAACATAACTTTCAATTCGATTTCTATTCCGAATTACATAACATACTTAAAATGTCTACTTCCTTATAACTAAATACCAAGTAAACGATCATTACAGAATGCTTAAAATTTCTCATTATCTACTTATAGTACAATTGCATAACAACATATGCTCACTAATGACCGGCTTTAAGACGTATTTCCTGGAGTTCTAGTGAGAAGCAGTGATCAGCGGAGTTCAACCAGGTCTGTTGTGAGATGGTAACTAACTGAAAACATTGGTGGATATGTCGCTCAC